TGGCACGAAAATGTTCACGATTCAATTCCATTTTTTGAAAGAGAAGAACTTTTCAATTTACTGTCAACAACACAAATGAAGCTATAATGGTAAATCGTCTGCTGAATTTATGTTTAAAAATATCAAACTTTCGATTAAAATCGTCTGCGGTCGCCTAGCAACACTTACTGATGCCAAGGCCAGAAATATAAATAGCAACCCTCGTATTATAAAATAACATTAATAAATCTAGTGATCGCGAATTTAACAGAGTATTTTAAGCTATGATCGAAACTTTAATTATTTAAGTTTCGGTAAAACTTCAGTTTTAAGAAATTCTTTGTTGGGGCATACACTAGTCTTTTCCATGTCGTAATATCACATTAAAAATTATTTCGATCTAATTGTAGCCAAATAAAAAACAGGGCAAATATATCTCATTAATTAAATAATTCTTCGGCTACGAATTTGAATTGCAGCAAAGTTATTACTTTAAAATATAAGTTAAAGAAAAAATGAGGAAAAAAACAACTTTTTTTTTCTAGCGAACGATCTTTTAAATATTCGAAATTACTTTACTTTTCAGATAATCAATTTTACACTTTTGTGTTTGCCTCAGTAGTTCATACATTCTAGTCGAAGTTAGGAAAAAAAAATTTCTTCTGTATAGTCTTCCCGAAGCTTTTTTCTTTAACAAATCTGCGTAAAAAAAAAAAAAAAGTTATCGCACGTGAATGAGAAACTAGCAAGAAAAAAAAGGGGGTGCTAGTAAAAGCGGAATAAATCTCTAGTTACGAGATTTTGAGTAAACAGCAACGAAATTCAAATTTAAGATTAATAACTCCGAGAAAATTTTGTCGAATTATAAATTATTGATTCGAGGAAAACCGCGAATCATTGCTCCTGAGACTCGTAGAATTCAGCGAAGGAATCACATGCCTGTGTATGTTCACCTGATAAAAGAAAACTATTTCCGGAGATAAATGATCTAATGTTAAACTTTTAAGAACAAAGTGCGAAAACGCAATGACATTTTGCTGAATTCATAACATGTATGGCAACCAAGTCAATGCAATTCATTTCAGCGACATTCAATAGTCTAATGTTGAACTTTTAAAGAGGTTAGTCGTAGAACATGTTATGTGGCATTTTAAAGAGTTTTTAATATATGGAACAACATTATAAAATTCTTTCTGGAACAAACGTTCAAAACTTTTGAAGAACCTATAGGTGAAATGTCACATATAGGTGAAGAACCTATATGTGACATTTCAGCGAATTCATAATATATATATTACGGTAAAAACTTAAGGTCTGGTAAATCTTAGATTTTACCAGTAAAACTTGGCTTTTACCAAAGTTGCTGGGTAAAAGTCTGCAGTATGCTTTAATAAGATTCAATTTCGGCTTTTTACCAAGTCTTTGTGGTAAAACCTAGTACTTACCAAGCCACTTTGGTAAATCCCTGTTCTTTTCATAAAAACTAGAATTTGCCATTCTTTTGGTTTTTTACAAGTACAAATACAGAATACATTTTACAGATTAGTACTACAGTCAAACCCCGCTATAGTGAACCTTCAAGGGACCGAAATTTTGGTTCACTATACCCGGGAGTTCACTATATCCGTTACTCATGCAATTTAACTAATGGCTCCCAAACTCTTCCCTTTTATTGCACATTATTCAAATAAATGACTGAAAAATATTATGTAATAACAAAAAATGTGTTATTTTTCATTACTCTTCGTCTTGCGTGCAACAAAACTTTTAATTTTTCGATGATGAGCAATCCTCAACATCAGATATGGAAACACTTCTTGACTATCAGATAATTTTTCCTGAATTTCTATTATTCCGCTTTTTAAACCTGTCTAACCTGCAATTCGAGCATATAAAAGTAGTCTCATAAAATCGCTTAGCAAATTCATCGACATTTGTCCAGATACTTCGATTGGTGAACCACTTCAGTAATGCTTCTTAACATCCTTGTGATCTGCTTTTTTCAGCCATCTAAATTTTTTTCATGAGTAGAAATTATTAATTGCCTATTTTTCCATATGTTACATATGTACTTGGATAGTTTATATTCCCTGCAAATATCAACTTGATTGCATCCATTTTCAATTTTTTCTGATTATGCCCATCATTTTATCATCAATGGAGAACGTTTTACGTTTACTGCTCACCATAGTTAAATTTGAGACACTTGTTTGCAGGATTTTTTTAACTGAACTGAGAGCAAAAAGGAGTTGAAATGAGGGCCTTATCAACACATATTAGTGTCCCACCCTATGACCAATAATGAATAATTACTCATTCCCTCTGACAGAAAATGCATATTGAT